GGGGGAAGTGGTACTTTTAATCTTTCTAGCTTTTCATCAGAACAGTGTGGAGAAACCTGGAACATCACTAGTGACTTTGGATCAGGAATCTGAAGTTACACAGAGCGCCTCCTGTGCTTGGTTGGTCAGCAGCTGCTGTCTAGACCAATGTTCTTGAATAGTCTCTTGAATAGTCTTCTGGTTGGTATAACTCTGGGTATGGGTTGTTTTATCTGTCGCTCATCTATCTACCTACCTACCTACCTACCTATCAACCCACCTACCTATTTTTTTCTGTAAAATCAAGGCTAGCTTCATAACAAAACTAGGATGATGGCAGAGGATAGACATTTGGCCCCTCACTCACTCATTTATAAAGTAAAATGCACACAACAACCAGGTATGGTGATGAAAGTTTGTAATCCCAGCACTTGAGAGGCTGAGTTGTTGCTGTTTTAACGTCTTTATTATTTTTAGTGGTTTGTTTTGAGGCAGTCTCACTATGTAGCTCTGACTGGCCTCAAACTCACAGAGATCCATCTGTCTGCCTCCCCAGTGCTGGGATTAAAAGTGTGGGCCACCATACCTGGTTGGAGCTGGAGCTACAGGTGATTGTGAGCTACACCGCATGGGTGCTGGGAACCAAATTTGAGTCTTCTGCTAGAGCAATATATGCTCTTAAACCATCGAGCTATTTCTCCAGCCTTTATCAGGAGTTTAAGGTGAGACTGGGCTGCCTAGAATGATTTCCCAGTCTCAAAAAAAAAACAAAAATAGGGGGCCAAGGGGATGATGGTTCAGTGAGTAAAAGGACTTATCATGCAAACCTGATGACCTGAGTTTGATCTCTGGAACCCAGGTAAAAAAGCCAGGTGTGGGGTAAATTCCAGACCCTGCAGGTAGAAGGTGGTAAGGTAGAATGGACCTTTGAAAAGTTGTCCTCTAATCTCAGCATGTGCCTTGTTGCTCGTATGTCTGTACACACACACACACACACACACACACACACACACATACACACACACACACATAAATGAAATGAAATACTTTTTTTCGACATTTATTTCAGGGTTTGGGGTTTTTTTGGGGGTTTTCCTGGTTTTTTTTTTTTGGTCTTTTTGAGACAGGGTCTCCCTCTAGCTCCAGCTGGCCTCAAACTCATTATGTAGACCAGGCTGGCCTTGAACTCACACAGTCTGCCTGCCTCTGCCTCCTGAGTGCTGGGACTAAACGTGTGTGCCACGCCAGGCTAAATGTATTTTTTATTGAATTTCTGTGCATTTCATATAAAACATCCTTTTTAAGAATATTTTTATTTATTATTTTTATTTTATGTGTATGTGTGTGTTGCCTGTGTGTATGTAAGTGCACTCGTGTCATGCAATGCCCACAGAGTTCAGAAGAGGCTGTCGGATCCCCGGGACTGGAGTTACAGAGGACAGTTGTTAGCTGCCATGTGGGTGCTGGGATTCGAACCTAGGTCTTCTGCAAGAACAACCAGTGTTCTTAACCACTGAGCCATCTCTCCAGCCCCTCATACAAAACATCTTAATTATCTTTATACCCTCTCTCCCATCCACACCCCCCTATAACCTGCACCACTGGATTTCATGCATTCTGTCATATATGTTAAAGCCTATCAAGTCAAGTTAGTGTCCCCAGACATCCCTTAGTATAAATTCATCCACTGGGGTCTAGTCAGCCTATTTAGAGACACACCCTTAAAGAAGATAAGCTCTTCCTCACCCAGCAGTAATCAGCTACCAATAATTCTTTGGTTAAGGTTGGGACCTGCTGCCCATTTCCACAGTTCTGTGCTGGGTTTTGTCTGATTGAGTTGCATGGGTCTTGTGCATGCTGTCACCATTGCTGTAATTCATATGATTAAGGTCCCAGGAGCTTGTAGGATTCTATTTCCATGTGGTCATGCACCTCCTCCCTGGCTCTTATTATCTTTCTTCCCCTGCTTCCGCAATGATCCCTGAGCCCTGGGTAGGTAAGGTTTAATATAGGAGTCCTGTCCAGGGACCCACACTTTGCAGGCTTATTCTCTACACTTTGGCACTTATTCTCTGTGTGTGACCAATTGTGGAATTCTAAAACAGTCTCTGTTGCAAAAGAAGTTTCTTAGATGAGTAGGGACTATTTTGAAATAAAATTATTTTTTTTTAGTCTTTTTGAGACCAGGTCTCCCTGTAGCCCCAGCTGTCCTAGATTCACCATGGAGACCAGGCTGGCCTTGAACTCACAGAGATCTGCCTGCCTCTGCCTCCAGAGTGCTGGGATTAAAGGCATGTGCCACCACGCCTGGCCTGAAATAAAATTCTTACTATAAGAACTAAACCTCTAGAAACTTGAGCTAGCAAAAACAAAGCTACAGATGGAGAGCTAGGGCCAGGGATCAGGACAAGAAAACCAGAGGCTGAGCATGCAAGTCTGGGGTCTCATCCCCAGCACTCCCCCTCCCTAAATAAATAAATAACAGGAAGATGAGAAGTCCAAGATTATCCATAGCCCCTTAGCAGTTTGAGGCCAGTCTGGTTTGAGATTTTTTTTTTTTTTTTTGGCTTATTTGAAGACTTTTTTTAAAAATTTATTATTTTTATTTAATGTGTATGAGTGTGTTACCTACATGTATGTGAGTGCAATGCCTGCCACGGAAGTCAGAAGAGGGCTTCGGATTCCCCTGGAACTGGAGTTAAGGATGGTTCGTAGCCACCATGTGGGTGCTGGGGATCGAACCTGGGTCCTCTGTAAGAGCAGGCAGTACTCTTAACCTCTGAGCCATCTCTCCAGCCCCTTGAAGGCTGTTTTTTGCTATGTAGCTTAGGCTGGTCAAACTCCTGTTTCTGCTCCCCAATACAGAACAACACACAGCATAAGAACGCTTTGTTGTTATTGTTTATTTTATTTTATTTTGTTTTATTTTATTTGGTCTTTTTGAGACAGGGTCTCCCTGTAGCCCCAATTGGTCTAGAACTCACTATGTAGACATGCTGGCCTCAAACTCTCAGAGATCTGCCTGCCTCTACCTCCTAAGTGCTGGGATTAAAGGCATGAGCCACCATGTCTGGCTCAGAGGACATCTTTCAGGAGTTAGTTCTTTCCATCATATGGGTTCCAGGGATCAAACTCAGGCCATTGGGCTTAGTGATAAGCTACCTTTATCCACTGAGCCATCTCACTAGCCCAAAAACATTATAAAAAAAATTGTGTGTTTGCATAATTGATGTATGTGCATTGGTATATGTGCCACAGAGCCCATGTGGCAAATGACAATTTTGTATAGTCAGTTCTCTCCTTCTACATTTATGTGGATTCCAAAGATTGAAGTCAAGTCAGCAGGCTGGTGGGCAACTGTATGCCTCTACCTGCTGCTCCATCTCACCAGCCCCCAAGAACGTTTTTAACAATTATAAAAGGTGCATTGGATTCTTTTATTTGGTTTGGTGTTTTGTGACAGGATCTTAGGTATCCCAGGCTGACTTGAATTTGGTATAAAGCCATGGCTGTCCTTGAACTCCCTATCCTGCCTCAGTCTCCTAAGTGCTGAAATTTCAGGCCACCACATCTGATTAGGTCTACTGTTTTGACTTAATAAGAGTGAAGTTATTTATTTACTTTCATTGAGTTTTGGTTTTGTTTGCTTTTGGGGGAGGGCTGTTTGTTTTTGAGACAGGGTCTCCCTATAGCCCACCTAACCTAGAATTCATTATGTAGACCAGGCTGGCTTCAATCTCATAGAAATTCACCTGCAGAGCTCTACCTTCTGAGTGCTGGAATTAAAGGCATGTGCTACGTGTGGTTTATGTAATTTTTAATGATTTTTAAAAAAGTATTACATTTATGTGTGTGTACTTTCACATGTTTAATGAGTGCTGGATAGCCTTAGTGTCAACTTGACACACCTGGGTTAAGGGAGCCTCAGTTGGGGAATTGCCTCTATTGGACTGGGCTGTGGCCATGTCTGTGGGGCATCTTCTTGATTGTTGAGTGATGTGGGAGAGCTGAGCAGGGGCGGAGGGAGCAAGTCAGTAAGCATCGATCCTCCATGGTCTGTGCTCCAGCTCCTGCCTCCAGGTTCCTGCCCTGAGTTCCTATCTTGGGCTCCCTGATGAATTGTGACCTGGGAGATACAAGCTAAATAAACCCTTTCCTCTCCAAGTTAGTATTGGTCAGAGTGTTCTGTCACAGCAATGGAGAGACAAACTAGGACAACATGCCATGTACACTTAGTGGTGTATGAGGTCAGAGGACAACTTGTAGAAGTCTGTTCTCTCCTATTATGTGGGTCCCAGAGATCAAACTCAGGTAGTCAGCCTTGGCAGTAAGTGCTTTTACCCACTAAGCCATCTTACCAGTCCAAGAGTGAAGTTTAAATAGGGTTGGGGGTGGGGGTGGTACAGGAGAGATAGCTCAGTGGTTAAGATCACTGGCTGATCTTGCAGAGGACCTGGGTTGGATTCCCAGCACCCACATGGCAGTTCACAACTGTCCCTAACTCCAGTCCCAGGGATCTGTCACCCTCTACTGACCTCCACAGGCATTGCATGACATGGGTGCACACACATACATACAAAACATATAAATAAATTAATTAAAAGGGGCAGGAGCAAATGAAAGAAAGTGGAACTGAGGAGGTGACTTGGGCCCCAGAGAAGTCTTCTTAGGTCCACTAAATCACAGAGAATTCTGTCTGAGAGGATGACTAGATCCAGCCTGACAGCCCACCAGGTTTCCTCCCTTAGGCCAAAAGGGAAAGGGAGCTCTTTACGTTATGATGTAAAGTGGGGGTGTTAAGCACCCTCACTAACCCTCTCTGCTTGTTTGAGAACCCTAATTAGGTCTACTGGTGCTTGGGTCCACCTGCAGGCCCGGGCTGTGTTTTTTAAGAGAACTATCCCCCTGAATTAAAATTCAATTAATCTAACTTTTTTTTTTAAGTAAAATAGAAACCTTTATTTAGAATTCAAGCAAACACTTGAGTATCGCAACACAACAAAACTGCAGACAGTGCCCGCTACTGTGGAGTGAGCGTTTATTTTGCACAATCACAACATGCAACAAGCCAGGAGAGGCGCGGCCACTGGCCTACTCGTCGCCTGGGGCCTCTCTCTCCGGCGTGTAGGCCATGAAGCAAGCATCGGGTCTCTTAGGGACGAGGGGGTGCCCAGGTCTCACAATCTCAAAGCCCAAATAGCTGAAGATTCGGAGCAGGGCGGCTCTGTCATCTCGGTTCTTGCGGAAGCAGACGAAGACATGGACAGCCTGGAGCTGGTCCTCAGCGAACTCCAGGAGAGCGGCGAGGCTGTCCTTGCTGCCCTCAGGCAGGGGTCCGGCAGGGAGCTCAATGCAGAGGCCGCCACCGCTCCACACCGCCCTCCAGGTCACATGCTTGGCGTCTGTGAGCACGCACTGGATGCTCAGGACGCGGGTCTTGTCGTTAGACGTCGGCTCCTCGGTCACATTCAGCCGCTCGTCGGGGTAGAGGACGCTGGCTGAAAGACTGTGATCCCGCTGACTGTTCCCTCGCCCACCTGGGATCTTCAGGGGTGGGTGAGGAACATCAGGAGCACCACCGAGGCCCTGGACCCAGGTTACTACAGCAGTGGACGGCCTGCCTGGAACTCTCGCTACTGCGGCTGCCACGGCTGTGCAGACAGAGAAGCGGCATGGTGCAGCTGGCGTGGAGCGTGGCGCAGCGGTTATCCCCCTCCTTGTCTCTGGCGAAGCAGTGGCTGTTGAGGATCCGCTGCAGGGAGGATTTCACCATCCGGCCGCTCGGGTCCGAAACCAGCAAAACCTCCGCTGCGCTCTCCGCGCCGCCGCCGCTGCTCGCCGTTCGCCTAATCTAACTTTTAAGAGCAAGAGAAACTATTTGTGAAAAATCACTAAACAGCACATAAAACACTTTGAGGAACAAGCAGAGACTGGGAGACGCACTGCCTGGCTTTTGTTAAGGTAGTTTGGGCCCAGGGAGTTAAGTTTTTTCAGGAATTTTAACAAGATGGTGGTCAAAGTGGAATTTGTTCGTGTAGTTTATTTAAGGTTTTACAAGGCCCTGCAAAGAGTCCGTCCCCTGGGGTCTGGAGGAGCAGAGCTGCTAACAAGAGGTGAGATGTGGACATTTGGAAGGGGGCATTTTTAAACCTGGGAGGAAACAAAGAAACTAGACCAGAGGCTTCCCAGATGTCAGGGTCCTGAAAGACAAAGCAAATCTGGAGGTGCTATCTTGGATCCAGGGAGACTTGAAGACTCTGGACTGGTATCCTGAGTTAGATCCTGGGAAGGAAAAACAAACTTCCCCAGAAAGGACATTATTGGGACAACTGATGAAACGTGAACACAGCCTGCCAGTTAGATAGTAGACTTGTATCAACATGCAATTTCCTGATTTTGATATCAGTACTTTGGTTGTTTAAGATAATGTTCTTGGTTTTAGGAAACACACAGGGAAATGGTTAGAGCGAGAAGTGTCTGTGCAGAAAGGAGCACAGATGGGTTTGTAACTGTCAGGGACTCGGGGGGACAGGTGCTTCTCAGTTAGTAGCATTATTATGCTTTGGAGATATCGATTGTAGGGGCTGGGTCGGTGTTTGAGACAAGGTCTTACTTTGTAATCCAATCCAGCAAGGAATTTGTGATCCTCCTACCTCCCAAGTGCTGGGATTTCAGGTATGTGGGTTTTTTAATTGGGTAGGTGTGTGAGGTGTTGAGGCTACGGCCACATGTACACTAAGCAGATGCTCCACTACTGATCTATGCCTTGTTCTTTTCTTTTTTTTGGGCGGGGTCTTTTTGAGACAGGGTCTCCGTATAGCCCCAGCTGTCCTGGAACTCACTATGTAGACCAGGCTGGCCTTCAACTCTCAGAGATCCGCCTGCCCCTGCCCCCAAGTGCTGGGATTAAAGGCATGAACCACCATGCCCAGCCCACTTTTCTTTCTTTTTTAAAAGATATTATTGATTGACAGATTTTTTTTTTTTGAGACAGAATCTCACTATGTAGGACCAGGCTGGTCTTGAGCTCACAGGAGTACTGGGATTAAAGGTGTGCACTAGCACATTCAGCTGACTTATTTATTTGTATTTTATATGTATGAGTGTTTTGCCTGCATGTCTGTGAGTGCACCACATGCATGGAGTGCCCAGAAAAGGGTATTGGAGCCCCTGGAACTGAAGGTTGTTAGCTGTCATGTGGGTACCTGGGAACTGAACCCGGTTCCTCTGCAAGAGCTCTTAACTGCTGAGCCATCTCTCCAGCCCCTGGTATGTGTAAGTTGAATATACATGTTTCTGTGACCTAGTGTACTTGTGAGTGTATATGCACAGTAGTGTATGTAGAAGTCAGCAGTTGACATCATGTATCTTCAATGGCTCTCCACCTTGGGTTTTTATTTTTGTTGTTGTTTTTCAGTGTTGGAGATCAAACCTACTGACTTGTGTGTAGGATAATACTCACCTGCTGAGCTATACCTCCAGCCTCCAGGCCCCGCCACCTCTTTTCCTTTTTTTTTGACACAGGGTCTCACTATGTAGCCTTGGTTGGTCTAGAACTCACTATGTAGACCACACAGGCCCTGGATTCACAGAGATCCACCTACCTCTCCCTCTAGAATGCTGGGATTAAAGGCATGCACCATGATGCCCAGTCCCCCCACCACCACTCCCATCTTATTTTCTGAAACAAGTTTCCTTACTAAACCTGAAATTCACCAATTTGGCCAGGAAGATTCAGGAATTCTCCTCCCCAGAAGCAGGGTTACAGACACATACTACTGAGGCTGCTAGGGATCCAACTCAGGTCCTCCTGCTTATACAGCAAGGATTTTATCTCCTGAGTAAGTTCACCTTTTATTGGTGTTTTGAGACAAAGTCTTGCTATATAGCCCCGGGTGGCATCAAACTTGAGCAATGTGCCTGTTTCTGAGTGATGGGATTACAGGCCTGTACCACCAGACCCAGCTTTGAAGCAGGTTTTGGAGGCTGAATATCAGAGAATGGAGTTGTGATCTGGGTGGAGGGGACAGTCTACAGAGCAGAGAGGACACAGCAAAGTTACCGCACACTCCTCCAGTACCAACTGTAAGGCAGCAGGAGATGAGATGTGGCCAGGTAAGTCAGGGCTAGAAGCAGGCCAGGGTTTGTCTGTCTGCCTGTCTAATGGCACTCCCTCTTTCTCGCTCTTAAAATTTAATAAACAGGGTCTATGCAATCAAGGCTGGCTTCAAACTCAATAGCTGAGGCTAGCCTTGAACCGATCCTGCCGCCTCTACCCCATTCCCTGACCCTAATTTGTTTTTGGTTCTAAAAAACATTTTGCTTCTAAAGATTTTTAGAATATTTATTTCTATCTTATGTTGTATGCGTGTTGACTGTATGTATGGATGTGTACCTGTGTGTGCAATGTCCACAGAGGCCAGAAAGGGGAATTGGATCCCCTAGAACTAGAGTGATGGACAGCTATTAGCCCCCATGCCATATGGGTTCTGGGAACTTAACCTGGGTCCTCTTGCAAGAGCAACAAGGAAGGGCTCTTAACCACCGAACCATCTCTCCAGCCTTTTGATTTGTTTGTTGTTTGTTTGGGACAGGGTCTCACTATATAGCATTGGCCGCCCTGAAACTCACTATGTAAACCAAGCAGGCTTCGATAAAGATTTTTTTGTTAAGATTTATTTTTATTTGTGTGTGTGTGTCTGTGTGTGCATTTGTGTTTGGATGGCTGAGGAAGCCAAAAGAAGGAGATAGATCCCCTTGAGCTGGAGTAACAGGCTGTTGTGAATCGCCTAGTGTGGGCACTGAAAACCAGACTTGGGTCCTCTGCATGAGAGTAGTAAGTGCTCTAACTACTGAGGTTAAGAACTCTTTATTATTTGTGTGTGTGTGTGTGTGTGTGTGTGTGTGTGTATGTATGTGCATGCTCAAGTATGGAGGTCGGAAGACAAATTTCATGGAGTTGGTCCTCTCCTTCCACCTTTATATAGGTTATGTGGGATTGAAATCAGGTAGTTAGGCTTGCACATCACGCAATTAACCTTCTGAGTTGTCTTGCCAGCCCAGCTTTTTTTTTTTTAATTAATTTTATTTATTTATTTTATTATTTTATTTTTTGTCTTTTTGAAGTGGGTCTCCCTGTATCCCCAGCTGTTCTGGAACTCACTATGTAGACCAGGCTGGCCTTGAACTCACAGAGATCCGCCTGCCTCTGCCTCCTAAGTACTGGGACTACAGGCATGCGCCACCACACCCGGCTAATTAATTTTATTTATGGAGCTGGAGAGATGTGTCAGCAGTTAAGAGCACTGGCTGCTCTTGTAGAGGATCTGGATTCGATTCCCAGCACCCACATAGCGGCTACGAACCGTCCTTAACTCCAGTTCCAGGGGAAGTCGAAGCCCTCTTCTGACCTCTGAGGCATTGCACCACACGGGTGCACTCACATACATGCAGGCAATACAATCATACACATAAAATAAGATCTTTGTGTATAAAACTTCTTGATGCACATATTATGGATTCATAGGTTATAACTGAAAGGAAAACTTGGGCAAGATGGCTCAGCAGGTACCAGGGTTTTCTGTGCAAGCCTGACAATCTGAGTTCAATTCCTGAAACCCATAGTGGAAGGAGAGAACCACCTACACACACATCACACAATAAAAACAAAAAGAAAGTAACACTTCACTTTTGTTCTAACCCCGAGGTACCACGGAAGTCCCCGTAGGCCTTGAACTTGCCATTTTTTTTGGTCTTTTTGAGACAGGGTTTCCCTGTAGCCCTAGCTGTCCTGGAACTCACTTTGTAGACCAGACTGGCCTTGAACTCACAGAGAGCCGCCTGCCTCTGCCTCCTAAGTGCTGGGACTACAGGCGTGCGCCACCATGCCCAGCGTAAAATAAATTTTAATTTTTTAATTGTGAAATTGTTTTTCACATTTATTGATTTGCATGTGTGCACACATGCATGCCTGCCATGCTGTGCATGTGTGTGCGTGTGCGTGTGCGTGTGTGTGTGTGTGTGTGTGTGTGTGTAGGTCAGATAAAACTTAGAGGAGTCAGTTCTCTCCTTCCACCATTTGGATCCCAGGGATCAAACTCAGGTTGTGAGATTTGGCAGCGGTGTCTTTACCCACTGAGCCATGTTGCCATTCCCACTGGCCCCCATCTCTCTCTCTCTCCTTTTTTTTTGAGACCCAGTCTTACTATATAGCCCAAGCTGTCCTGGAACTCACTGGTGTAGACCAGACTGTCTCTCAAACTTTAGCACTCTTCTTGCCTGGCTCTTTAGGGTTCAGATTACAGGTGTATGCACACTCAGCCTAGATGGCCAGGAATACTCAGCTGGAATCTGAAGAAGGATACAGCTGAGGATGGGGAAACTGATACTGCGTGGCAGATAGAGAAGCTCCAGAGCACAGTGCAGAGGTCAGCAGGAGCCAACAGGAAGGTAGGTGAGGGCAGGTAAACCCCAGGAGATGCAGAGCCTGCCCAGGTACAGTGTGCAAGGGTTTCCTCTCACCTGCCTGTGGCCTTTCACAGGTGCCTCCAGTTCTATGGTCAGGGGCCTTATCACGAACACCTCCAGTCCTGTGGTCAGAAGCACCCCAGGATGGGCATGTCTGGGAAGGAACGTTTGAGGGACTTGCCACTGGTCTAGCCATTGAGGCGAATTGTGGCACTTCCTTGAGAAAGTAAAAGCAGAACCGATAGAAAAACCAGCAATACTAAATCAGGGTACACATCCAAAGGAGCAAGAAGCAGTGTGCCTAGAGATTTCTGTTCTCCGTGTTTCCTACCACAGCCTTCATACTAGCCAAGATGTGCAGTCAGCCTAAGCATCC